GCCTGGGTCCTTGCTTAACATCTTTCATTCATGCAGGCTGGGATTGATTTTTTTCTCATCAAAGTATAATGAGACAGTATTGAACAGAATGATGTCATTTCAAGCATCTGCTGAACCCAAAATATCAAAGAGTGACCCCTGGGCATCCGCATCAAGTGGGAACTTATGAAAAATAGAAATTATTGAGCTTTACCCCAGATATACTGAATCAGAAACTAGGAATAGGTCCCAGCAATCTGATGTGTGTGTGTGTGTGTGTGTGTGTGTGTGTTTAAGATTTACTTATTTATGCATACAGAACTAAGCCCTCTGGGATATTCTAACAATGAGTGAACTTTGAGAACCACTCTGTGCTGCAGTATACATGTATGAAGGTTCATTCACTGGCAGAATGAATAAATAGTGGAATATTCTACGGTGTAAAACAAGAAAAGTGAGCAAACTGCAATTACAGACAATAACATGAAGGAACTTTTAAAAAATTCACATATACTATGGTGATGGCACATGGGTGACTTGGTGATGGGAAACCAACAGGGATTACAATTGAGATGAAAAAAAAAAAAGTACAAAATGATGTAAAAATAAACTATTATTAAAAAACATTCACATATAATATGGTTCCATTTATATATGCAAAAAAGGTAAAATTAAACATTGTTTAGGAATGCACACTTTACTGGCAAAATATGGAGAAATTTAAAGACTGAAGAGTAGTTAACTCTAAGGGAGGAGTGGATGTGACTGGGAAAGGACGCACTCAAGGGACTTTTGAGGTGTTGCTAACACTGCTGCTCTACCTGGAAGATGATGGTTACATGTTTATTTCAAAATGAGGGCTTGAAAGCATATATGCCATACACATTTATTTATCTGTTACATTTAGCAGTTTGCTTATTTGGCAATTTTTTTTTTTAAAGAAAATACAGTCCCTTCTCAGTTTCCCAAACCTAAAGCTATAGCACATTTGGGTAAACAATGCCAGGCCTAGATCACTGAGCTTCATTTTAAGACCATGGCTCACTGGCTTCAAAAGATAAAACCAGCAAGGCCTGAGCAGTACCTTATGGATCACGTGGTAAATGCGTCAGGGTGTTGGTTCAGCTTTTGAAAACCACCCTTGTAGGATTCAGCAGGGGAAGGAACTTGACTCATGGTGGACCAACCACACTCATTCTCCCAGGATTGAATTCTAAGCAGAGACACAGATCTGAGTAGGAACTGGGGGCTAAAGCACACAGAGGGTACTGCTCAGGAAGAAGGGTCTCTCATCTCTTCAAAAGAGCTCCGAGCAACCCTGGCTCCCCTGTTGCTCAAGCTGTAGCATATTCTATTTAAAAAAAACAAAATACAAACTTTTGTACATTAGATAACACACTAGGTTGCAAGCAACAGGAACCCAACTGAAATTAACTTAAAGGGAAAAAAGGGCCTCCCTGGTGGTATAGGGGGTTAAGTCTCAGTGCCATCACTGCATTGGCCTGAATTCAATCCCTGCCCAGGGAGCTGACCCACCTGGTGTGGCAGACCTCTCCTTACCCAACTGCTGCTCCCCTCAGCAGTGTACTTCATCAATCTGCCTGTTCTGCTCCCCATTCAGTCTCTGGTTGAATCCTCTCACTGCCCCTGCACCTCTGGCCTGTACCCCAGTTCTGTATACATAAATAAATATTTAATAAAAAAAAAAAAACTGACCCTCCCTGGTGGCGCGGCGGATTAAAGCACAGCACTGAGAAGCTAAAGCCACTTCCACTTCCGCATGAGTTCCCACCTGCCCCGGAGGTGACCACATGGCGTGGCAGACCTCTCCTGACCCGCCTGCTGCTCCCCTCAGCAGTGTACTTCACTGATCTGTCTGTTCTGCTCCCCACTCTGTCTCTGGTGAAGCCTCTCGCCGCCCCTGAGCCTCTGGCCTGTACCCCAATTCTGTATGAATAAATAAATCTTTTAAAAAAAATTTAAAAAAAAAAACATGAAGGAATACTATGACCATCATGCCAAATAAGACAGAAGAAATGGACAAATGCTCAGAAAAACACAAATCACAGAAAAAGAAATTGAGATGGTATAGAAACTTTGAAGCAAAACAAATGGAATGATATAATTAAAATTTTCATGCACACAGAAATCAAGGTCGCAATGGCTTTACTGATTCTTTTAAACATTAAAAAAAGATAGCAATATTTTCTAAACTCTTCTAGAAAATAAAGGAACACTTCCATATTAAGATACCAAAGGCAGAAAACGGTTAACACACATATGAAGTACAGACCACTATTTCTCCTGACTATAGACACAAAAATTCTGGGCCCTCGCTGGTGGCACAAGGGGTTAGAGTGCGGCACTATGAAGCTATCAACAGCCACTGCAACGCGAGTTGGATTCCTGCCCCAGAGGGTGGCAGACCTGTGTTCACCCACCCGCTGCTCCCCTCAGCAGTGTATTTCAGTCAATCTGCCTGTTCTGCTCCCCATTGTGTCTCTGGTGAATCCTCTTACCCACTGCACCTCTGGCCTGTACCCCAGTTCTAGTATGTATAATTAAATACATCTTTACAAAAAAAATTCCCCCTAAATATTAACAAAGCAAATCCAAGATATTTGAAAATACAACAAATACCATGACCAGGTGGGATTTATACTACAAACACAAACACTAGTTTAATATCTGAAAATCAATTAATATAATATATCTTATTAATAGAAAGACAAAAACCATATGATCACCTCATTAAATGAAGTAAAATCATTTAACAAAATGCAACACCACTCATGACAAAAGTTTTCAAGGGTCCCAAAGAAAATCAGGATAATTCAAGGATAGCACATTAACAAAGGTATGGGTGTAGGCGAACCACAAGAACAGTGCAGGAACTTGATATAGAAATTACTTTGGTACCACTTCCAGTCCCAAAGAGATAAAAGGTTAATTACCAGAATCCAGAAGGAAAGTCATACAGAGTCTGCACTGTAGAAGGTGAGCTTCACTGGGGGGACAGAGCCAACCAAAGGCACCTTGCCAGGAGGGAGACAGAGTAACCTCACTCTCTCTCCTCCTTTCCATCTTTTGCCAAGACTCCTCTTTGGTTAAATCCAACATAAAGTTCTAGATCTCAGTAAGTGAAGATTATATTGAACACTTAAATTGAAGATATCTGGTACAAAGCGGTAATTCCCTAGTTCAGGAAAAATTCTGAACCTGAGCTTCAAGGACTAGAATTTGTGCCCAACACTGCTGTCTTCCTGCCTGTACCATGGTCTCCCTGTTACTGCCACCTGATGAAGGCTACAAATGTTGCACAGTAACCTTGGCACTGGGATGGCCTCTGTTTTTTTGTTTTTTGTTTTTTGTTTTAAGATTTATTTATTTATGCATACAAGAACTGGGTACAGGCGAGAGGTGCAGGGAGTGAGAGGATTCACCAAAGACAAAGTGGGGGGCACAACAGGCAGACTCACTGAAGTACACTGCTGAGGGGAGCAGCGGGCGGGTCAGGAGAGGTCTGCCGCGCCATGTGGTCACCTCCGGGGCAGGGGGGATCGAACTCATGTGGAAAATGGCTTAAGCTTCTCAGTGCTGTGCTTTAACCCGCTGCGCCACAAGGGAGGGCCCAAATCAGAATTTTAATAATGGATATGTCCACACACTTAAAATGGTTTGGGACTGTAAAGTATGAAATGTGTATATACTCACATTTTTTATAAGAAATTCAAAATACTGACAACAAAAATATTCTTACCCAAAGTCAGCATATAAGAACTTTACCACAATTCATGACTTAGGATAATTTATTATTATTTTTCACACACAAAATATTTGCAGGCTTTTATTGGACCACAATTTCAGTTGAGTCTTTTGTTTGTTTGTTTTTGGGTAAAGTTTCGTCATCACTTACCTGGAGTCAACCTTCTTCTCCATGTTCTGCTTAATGCCCTTCTGATAAAAATTCTGCCAGTGGCTTGACATAATCTTCTTAATGATCAGATTCCTCATGAATCAGTCTTTTATCTTCCCTTTCTAACTCTGAGAAAAAGAGGGATAAAGGCGAGTAAATTACAGGGAGCCACTTACCAGTCACATTTCTTAAGTCAGTTCCTACTTTCCTGCCTCCATGTTAATTAAACACCAGACAAACATGGGAAGTTTCTAAAGTAGTCTTTTTAAAAGCTATTTTCTTTTTTAAAAATATACTTACCTATGCATATAAGAACTAGGGTGTAGGTGAGAGGTGCAGGGGAGGAGCGGAGTCACCAGAGGCAGAATGGGGAGCAGATCCACTGAAATCCACTACTGAGGGGACAGGCAGATCCACTGAAATCCACTACTGAGGGGAGCAGTGGGCAAGACAGGAGAGGTCTGCTGTGCCATGTGGGTCAGCTCCCTGGCCAGGGATCTGTTGCAGTGGCTGAGGATAGCTTCATTGTGCTGCACTTTAACCACTTGTGCCCCCAAGAAGGCCCCATCAGTCAATTTTTGATATATATGTTACTATGTACAATTTCAACTTTCATTTGGTGACAATCTCTACCAATATGAACTGAAAAACACAGGTTTTATTTCCTAGTGCCAAGAATAACAATGACATATGTTGAATTATGTTCTCCCAAAAAATGTGCTATAGTCCTAACCCCTGGTACCTAATTTGGAAATAGAGTTGATGAAAATGTAATTAAGATATGAGATAAAATGAGGTCTTGAAAGAGTAGGGTGGCCTTTATTCCAATATGAGAGGCATCTTTATAAAATGAGAACAAACACAGGGACAGATACACAGGAAAAGAAGAATACCATCTAGAGTCACAGACACACAGAAACACATCAGGTGATGATGAAAGTAGAAACTGAAAGGTCTCCCTGGTGTCACAGGGGTTAAAAAGTCTCAGCACTATCAAGCTATCACAGCTCCTGCAGCACAAGTTCAATCCCCAGCCAGAGCTGACCCCCATGGTACAGCAGACCTCTCCTGTCTGACCTACTGCTCCTCTCAGAAGTGTGTTTCAGTAGATATACCTGTTCTACTCCTCACTCTGTCTCTGGTGGATCCTCGCATGGCCTGCAACGCTGCTCTTTATGCATAAAAAAATAAATCTTCAAAAAGATAAAAGGAAGTAGAAACTGAAGTAATACAGCCAGCCAAGGAGCATTAAGGGCTGCTGGCAACACCAGAGCTAAGAGAAAGGCGTGGACACAGACCCTCCAGAAAAAGGGTCTTCAGAAAGAGGGTGGCCATATAGACACCTTGAATTCAGACTTCTATACTTCAGAACTATTAGCCACTAAGTTTCTGTTGTTTTAATCCACCCACTTGTTTTATTACAGCAGCCTTGGAAAATCACATGTAATAAGAGAAAGAAGAAAAATCTAGGTACATGATGGAGGAAATTAACAGGATGGAAATACCACATGTTGACAAACTATGATCCATCTATAATGAGACATGCACTCCAAAAAAATGAAATTACCCTAATAATCAAGGTCACATATTTCAGTAACAATCAGGGAAGGGTCAGCCAGAAGAGACTATCCATACAAACTATTGATATGTACTAGTTTTCCCAGTTACACAAACAACAAAGATCAGCATGAATGACAGGGACATCTAGTGAACTATTACTATAATCACTAAGTCATTGCCTTAGGTTTATGTCTTGTGACAATGACTCTTGGGGTGTTATCTGTGATTAAAAACTCCCTTTTGAGGCCCTCCCTGGTGGCGCAGCGGGTTAAAGCACAGAATCTAAAGCCGCTTCTGCGTGAGTTCGATTCCCGCCTGCCCCGGAGGTGACCACATGGCGTGGCAGACCTCTCCTGACCCGCCCGCTGCTCCCCTCAGCAGTGTACTTCCTCGATCTGCCTGTTCTGTTCCCCACTCTGTCTCTGGTGAAGCCTCTCACCGCCCCTGAGCCTCTGGCCTGTTCCCCAGTTCTGTATGCACAAATAAATAAATCTTTAAAAAAAAAAAAAGTCCCTTTTGAAAAAGGAACTCTCCTGCACTGCTGGTGGGAATGCAAACTAGTACCACCACTATGGAAAACTGTTTGGAGGTTCCTCAAACTGCTTAACATGGAGCTTCCCTACGATCCAGCAATCCCACTCCTAGGTATCTACCCAAAAGACACAAAAACACTGATTGAGAAAGATACCTGCACCCTCATGTTTATTGCTGCTTTATTTACAATTGGAAAAACATGGAAGCAGCCCAAATGCCCAAAAGTAGATGACTGGATAAAAAAGATGTGGTACATATACACAATGGAATATTACTCAGCAACCAAAAAAGAGAAACACATGTCTTTTGCAGCAACTTGAATGGAGCTGGAAAAGATCATGTTTAGTGAGATAAGCCAGAAAGAGAAAGAAAAATATCAGATGGTTTCACTCATAGCAGGAGTATAATGGACCAGGCGAGAAAATAACAAGAATAATGAACAACCATATACCAGAGACATATTGTGGGGGTGGAGTGGAGAATGGGATCAAAAACGGGGGGGGGGGGTGGGGGGGGGGAGAGAAGTGCACAGGACTATGGTGATGGCACATGGGTGTCAGTGATGGGAAACCCACGGGGATTACAATTGAGATGAAAAAAAAATGTACAAAATGATGTAAAAATAAATTATTATATTATATAAAAATAATCATGAAAATAAATAAAGACTCCCTTTTGTTTATACACTCTGTGTCAACACTCTTGACAGTTTGGACATACCTCCCTTTCCAATCAAAATCAATTTGGGGCTCTTCCTGGTTGCGCAACAGGTTAAAGCCCTGCACTATGAAGCTCTCAAAAGCCACTGCAGCACGAGTTCCATCCCCAGCCAGGGAGCTGACCCACATGTCACAGCAGACCTCTCCTGTCTCACTCACTGCTCCCCTCAGCAGTGTGCGTCATCAATCTGCCTGTTCTGCTACCCACTCTGTCTCTGGTGAATTCTCTCACCCACCACACCTCTGGCCTGTACTCCAGTTCTGTAAGCATAAGTAATAAATAAATCTTTATGCACAACTATAAATGTGCTTCTGAGATTGAAGACACATCATGATAACTAAATATAAAGGCCCAAGAAAAGCAAAGATTATGAGTTATGAGCCCCAAATTAAGCCTATAGATTGACCTAAGATGACAGCAAAGAATAAAAAGATCTAAGTTATAAGATATAAGAGATGAGAGAAAAGATCATAGGAAATGAAAGATTCAACAAATTTTTGCAACAAGAAAGTAGGAGAGCTCTTTTTCCGGCTGCAACCATGGAGGGTGCGAAGAAGAAAATGGCTGCTAAGCCACAAACCTGAGAGAGAAGAAAAAGAAGATTCCCTCTGTGCCAGAAACCCTTAAGAAAAAGGGGAGGAATTTTGCAGAGCTGAAGATCAAGTGCCTGCAAAAGAAGTTTACCCAAAAGATGCTTCGAAAGGCAAGAAGGAAGGTTATCTATGAAAGGGCTAAGCATTATCACAAGGAATATAGGCAGATGTACAGAACTGAGAGTCAAGTGGTGAGAATGGCAAGAAAAACTGGGAACTTTTATGTGCCCACGGAACCCAAGATGGCATCTGTCATCAGGATCAGAGGTATCAATGGGTGAGCCCAAAGGTCTGAAAGGTGTTACAACTTCTTCGCCTTCCTCAGATCTTCAATGGCACCTTTGTTAAGTTCAACAAAGCTTCAATTATCATCTGAGGATTGTGGAACCATATATTGCATGGGGGTATACAAACCTGAAGTCAGTAAATGAATTGATCTACAAACGCTTATAAGGCAAAAATCAACAGGAAGAGAACTACCCTAACAGATAATGCATTGATTGCTCAATCACTTGGTAACTACAGCATGTCTGTACGGAAGATCTGATTCATGATATCTATACTGTTGGAAAACACTTCAAAGAGGCAAACAACTTTCTCTGGCCCTTCAAGTCATCTTCTCCATGAGGTGGAATGAAGAAGAAAATCACCCATTCTATAGAAGGTAGAGATGCTGGCAACAGGGAAGACCAGATCAGTCGGCTTATTAGAAGGATGAACTGAGGTGTCTGCCATCGATTGTTTTTGTAATCTGGTCAGTTAATAAACAGTAACTGCTTTCAAATTGAAATGAAAAAAAAAAAAAGAAAGTAGGAGAAAAACTAACAGATACCAGGAAATATAAACATGTAGAGTGAGAAACTAAAGAAGCCAGTCAGTAGAACCCCAGAAGCACTCAGAACTAGAAGAAATGAAAGGACCTCAGTATTGAAGCCACAGGTCACAACTGAGGGGACTGAATAAAATTCTGTGGGTGTTTGGGGACCCTGGTTTCCTCTCCAACCCTGCTAGACACAGTATTTAGTCCCCTTTCTCTGGCCTGCTTCCAGAATTCTCAGTCAAGAAATGGCTTCTTCTCAGATGAACCTAAAAACTAACAGAACTCCAGATTCTGACGTCTGTGCCCTACCTCCCACTGCTCCCCTCAGCAGTGTATTTCAGTAGATCTGCCTGTTCTGCTCCCCACTCAGTTTCTGGTGGATCCTCTCACCCCCCACCTAAACCTCTGACCTGTACCCCAGTTCTTATGTGCATAAATAAATCTTTCAAGAAAAAAGAAAAAACAGGATTATCCTTGAAAAGCAGCTCATGGGCCCGACCTGGTGGCAACAGGTTAAAGCACAGCATTGCAAAGCCAGCCACAGCGCTTCGACACAAGTTCAATCCCCAGCCTAGGAGCTGATCCACATAGCTCGGTAGACCTCTACTGTCTCACCCGCTGCTCCCCTCAGTAGTGTACTTTAATCAATCTGCCTGTTCTGCTCCCCACTCTTTCTCTGGTGAAGCCTTTCACAGCCCCTGCAACTCTGGCCTGTACCCCAGTACTGAATGCATAAATAAATAAATCTAAAAAAAAAAAAAAAGCAGCTCATAAACCTACTCATTCTGCTCAGACACTGGGAACTTCTAATTTCTCTTATTAGAAGACTAACTTCTCAGTTGCTGACACTTTAGTAAGAACAGACAGGGATGTGGTGCAATGGGTTAAAGCCAGCACTCTG